GCAGGAGACTTGCTTGAGCCCAGGAGTTGGAGGGTGCTGTGAGCTGTGATGCCACGGCACTCTACCCAGGGGGACAGCTTGAGGCTCCTGTCTCAAAACAAAAAAAAAAAGAAATCTAAACTATAAGGAAGTATTAACAAGGCAAACAGAGCAGGGAAGCATTTCATGTAGAGGGACCAGCAGATGCAAAGGCTCTGTGGTACCAAGGAACATAAGAAGGCAGATGGCTGGAGCACAGTGCACGTGGGGACACAGTGCAGGCAGAGGAGGGAAAGGCAGGTAGGGACAGCCTCTGAGCACCTGACAGGCAAGAACCTGATCTTTATTTTGAGCATATTAGCAGCCATCATAGATGTCCTGTGCTGAGATTTGCATACTGAAAAGATCACTCTGGTGTTGGTAGTTATGTTTAAGGTGAAACTTCCTAGAAAATGGGTGTGGATGAAATGAATCCAGTCCTGAGGAAGAGTCAGATGAGAGACAGAGACATCAGTGTGGGGGTGAAGTTCCTGAGAAGGCTGCAGAGAATGCATTATTTGGGATGTAGACTGTCTGGTGGGTGGAGGACTTTGCTGGTGGTCAGGGTGAATAGAGGTGACGATTTAATCAAGAAGTATTACATCTGAGCAAGCAGAGTGTCAGTGGTGGCCAGAGCAGGGAGGGTTGTGATTCTGTTTTGTTTGGGGGTTTTTTGGAGACAGAGTCTTGCTCTGTCACCTGGACTAGAGTACCATGGCCTCAGACTAGCTCACAGCAACTTCAAACTCCCGAGATCAAGCGATCTTCCAGCCTCCCATAGGGCTAGGATTACAGGTGTGACCCACTGTGTGGCCATGATTCTGTTTTGTATATGAGGTGCTAGGGAGGTCTGGGGTACGCAGTATGCAAGAAGAAAAATATTATCATGTGCAAAGAGCAAGTGAAGGGAAAACAAATAAATGGAGGGAAAAATTGAGAGGAAACAAATGCATTCCCTTATTTTGTCATCGCGACCACTACTTCAAGTGACAACGTTGTTACTTGGTCAGTGGTCTGAAGGCCATCCAGCTGCTGCGTCCCTGCTCTGGCCAGGCTGTGTGCTCAGTGCTGGGCATGGACTCCATGTGACTGCCCTGAGGGTAATTATTATAAAGGTGACAAATATTGGAGGGAGAAAAGGCCACTCTGGGTGCCAGTGGAAGACAATGTGGAGGAGTGTGGAGGGGTCTGGACACAGGAGATGATTCTTGGATCAGGGATTTAGGGGAGAAGCAGCAGGGCCCACTGCATCCTGTGGCTTTTTATTGGGTAGGAGTTGGCCTGCTCCTTCCTCACCTTGACCTCCTGAGGCAGGGACTCTGTGTGTCTTATGTGCCACCACTCATCAGTGCCCTAGTACCCAGCAGGTGCCCTAAGCAGGTCTGTTGAATGAATAAAGCATGTCAGCAAAAAGATAGTTGTGTGAGGGAAGCCCTTTCTCTTTCAGGTCCCAAATGAGGAAACTGAGTCCTAAACAAGACTCACACATTGGACGGCCAGGCACAGTGTAATCCTAGCACTCTGGGAGGCTGGAGGTGGGTGGATTGCCTGAGTTCAAGGGTTCAAGACTAGTCTGAGCCAGAGCAAGACTGCATCTCTAAATATAATGGGGTGTTGTGGCAGGTGCCTGTAGTCCCAGCTACTTGGAAGGCTGAGGCAAGAGAATAGCTTGAGCCCAAGATTTTGAGGTTGCTGTGAGCTGTGACATGACAGCACTCTACTGAGGGTGACAAAGTGAAACTGTCTAAAAAAAAAAAAAAAGACTCACACATGGGTTGCTGACAGTGCTGGGCCTAGGACTTCTAGGCTCTAGCACTCACTCAGCCCATCTCTTCAGGGGTCTCAGTCCACGTGTGCAATGATCAGCGTTATGGGTACATGAATGTTCCTGTGAAAGCCCACCAGGGATTGGAAGACGAGAGGGTCAACTTCATCCACCTAATCTTGGAAGCACTAGGTGAGGCCTAGGGGGCCTACCCCTTGCTGCTGGGGTCCCCTGCCTCCCCACAGTGCCCCTTTTCCTGGGCCCTGGACCTGAGTGGGCACTGGACTCGGGGTTCTAGCCAAGGTTAGAACCCTAACTTGTTCCATGACTCTGAGCAAGTCCCCTTGCCTGTTGGCCCTCAGTCTCCTTATCTCTGCAGTGGAGCCAGGTGGATTCTGTGACCTCAGGGGGCTCTTCCTGCTGGGCATTCTGCCTAAGATGGCAGGAATGAAGCCATGGTTAGAACTTCAGGTGACTGCTAATAGGAGCCACCTGAAGTTCTAACCCTCTTGTGGGTTGTGCCTTCCTTTGCAGTGGACGGGCCCCCCATGCAAGCCTCGGCTCATGTGTTTCGGCCCCCAAAGAGGCCCAGCAAGATGGGATTTGATGAGGTAAGTCCCCTCAACCTGTGGGATTGGGGCAGGAGGTGGATGGGCTCTCCCCTCCCTGTCTCTCATTCCCCCTCAGGTCTTTGTCATCAGCCTGGCCCGCAGGCCCGACCGCCGTGAGCGCATGCTGAGCTCGCTCTGGGAGATGGAGATCTCTGGGCAAGTGGTGGATGCTGTGGATGGCCGGTGAGACTTCTTGGGGATGGGGCCTTGGGCATCTGGGCGTGGTTCATCACTGAGCTCCCTGGGAGTGGAAGAAAGGACCAAGCTGAATCAGTTTCCTGTTCCAGGAAGTATTTGAGTAGGGCCCGAGTGGTACTGTTTCCAGGAGTATCAAGGTAGGAAACCCAAGACAAGACTCCCTGTCTTGGCCAGCCAGAGGGGGCAGAAGATGGTGGTTAAAGTGCCAGGGCCTGGGGTCCAGTGCTGCCCCTCACCAGCTGTGTGATCTCTGGCAGTTAACCACCCTTCCACCCCCTGTATCCTATAAATAGCAGATAATTGCACCTTGCTTTCAGGTTTTTAAGGCTCAGGAAGAGTTAGCCAGGGCCTGACACATAGTAAGTATTCCAAAGAGTTAGGCATTATTAATCCTGGAGCTGGGTTCCGGAGGGGGGGCAGTTGAGGCAGGTTGGCCATGTTCCCCAAGGGAATCCAGAAGCCAGGCTCCTGTGGCCAACAGGCATCATGGGGCCCCAAATACCCCTGACTGTTTCCTTTCAGCCCCTAGCTCTTTTGACCATAGGACATTTGTCCTTTCCTCTGCCTAGGAAGTGTCTCTCATGTTTCACATCGTCCTGGGTGCCTCCCCTCAGGCAGCCCCCTTCTGCCCTTTCCCCAAGGGTCACCCCAGTCCTGTCAGATTGGGGTATATCCTAATAGTTATGTCTGTCCTATCATACTTCCAAGGTGGCCACGGTTCCTTAGGTCCAGTCACTGACAGCTTCAGTGCCAGGCCACATGCAGGAGTTACATGGCTGAAAGCCCCTTCAAACCAGATTGCAATGCACCTGTCCCCAACACGCACAGGCTAGGCCCTTCTGGAGGCAGTCTCACCCCATTACACACTTGTGTCCCTCAGGACACTCAACAGCAGTGTCATCAGGAGCCTTGGTGTGGACCTGCTCCCCGGCTACCAGGACCCCCACTCAGGCCGCACGCTGACCAAGGGCGAGGTGGGCTGCTTCCTCAGCCACTACTCCATCTGGGAGGAGGTGAGGACCCAGGGCCTGCACCCTTGGCTGTTCTGTGCCCAGCGCTCAGTGAATGGGAGTGAGTGAACAGAACAGGGACCCAGTCAGCAGCTATTTACTGAGCTGATTTCCTGTTCTTTTCAGATTTCCAAAAGTTACAAAAAGTACATTTTCTTTGGGATGTTGGGGGCTGGAGTCTCCCCCCACCCATGCCCAGCCCAGCTTCCTTTAGGAAAGCTGAGAAAGCCAAAGTGACAGTCCGGGCCCTGGAGTCCAGCAGAAGCAGGTTCAGATCCCAGTTCTGTTGCTTCCTGCCTGTGTGTCCTTGGACAAATCATTTCCCCTCCCTGTGTGTTTGTCTCCCTCCTGCAATAGAGGGATGTTTCCTGCCCCTACGCCCCTGGGATCATGACTACTGTCATGACTCTGTTTGGATAGCTTGAATGGAGGCCTGGAGGGCCTTGAATGCCAGAGCAAGGTTAGGATTTCAGTCCCTGGGCAGTGGGAGCCCCAGCAGGCTTTGGAACAACTGGGTAATATGGCCAAGCCTGAGCATTTGGAATATAACTGGGCAGAGTATGGGCTATCACCAAGAGAGAAGGGGATAGTGACTCTGATTGTGTACCTCAGGTGGCTGCCAGGGGCCTGGCCCGGGTGCTGGTGTTTGAGGATGATGTGCGCTTTGAGAGCAACTTCAAGGGACGGCTGGAGAGACTGATGGAGGATGTGGATGCAGAGAAACTGCCCTGGGACCTGATGTAGGCAGCCTACACCCCCAGGGACAAGGGAACAGGGGGGCTTCTGGAGCCTGCTTCTTCCTGCTTGGAATCCTGGCTGGCCCAAATTGGTTGGGATGGGGGAAGAGCCCCATGACACCCCAGGACCTGACTTCTGGGATCCTTAATGTCACTTGTAGCTACCTTGGCCGGAAGCAGGTGAATCCTGAGGAGGAGGCAGCTGTGGAGGGGCTGCCAGGACTGGTGGTGGCTGGGTATTCCTACTGGACACTGGCATATGCCCTGAGCCTGGCGGGTGCCCGCAAGCTGTTGGCCTCCCAGCCTCTGCATCGCATGCTGCCCGTGGATGAGTTCCTGCCCATCATGTTTGACCAGCACCCCAAGTGAGACTTGGATGGGGGTAGGATGGGGCAGGGGCATCCCACCCAGGAGCCCACCTCAGCAAGTAGTAAGTCCCCTCACTAGGCAGCTGGCAAGACTGAGACTGGTGAGGCCAAGTCACTTGTTGTAGGTCACTAAGGAATATCCCAGCTTGACCTTGGAGTCAGGCCAACATAGGTGTGAATTCTAGCTGCCCATGTGGCTTTTAATCAAATAACTTCCTAGTTCTCAGCCTTAGTTTCCTCATATGGAAAATGGGGATAATAGCAATTCTACTTCTTAGGGCTGTGGTGAAGACTAGATGAGAGGACAGTGAGGTGCTTTGGGTAGGTGAGGTGCCAGTTCTGGGCTGATGTATGGTCTGGGAAGGAGGACCTTCCTCGGTCCCCCTAAGCTGTTCTCCCACCTCACAGTGAGCAGTACAAGGCACACTTCTGGCCCAGGGACCTGCGTGCCTACTCAGCCCGGCCTCTACTTGCTGCCCCCACCCACTACGCAGGGGATGCTGGGTGGCTCAGTGACACAGAGACATCCTCCCCCTGGGATGACGATAGCGGCCGCCTCTTCAGCTGGAGTGGCTCTCAAAAGACCCTGCGTGGGCCCCGTCTGGACCTGGCTGGCAGCAGTGGGCACAGTCTTCACCCCCGGGATGAGCTCTAGGTGAGGTCCTTGGCTCTTCTGTAGTGGGACTATGTCTCAGTCTCTGTTGTTCTCTTGTCAGCCTTCTTCCTCCCCTTCTCGGTCTCTCTCTCTCTTTTTTTTTTTTTGAGACAGAGTCTCACTTTGTGACCTTCAATAAAGTGCTGTGGCGTTATAGTTCACAGCAACCTCAAACCCTTGGGTTCAAGCAATTCTCTTGCCTCAGCCTCTCTGAGTAGCTGGTACTACAGGCACCCACACAATGCCCAGCTATTTTTAGAGATGAGGTCTCACTCTGGCTCAGGCTGGTCTTGAACCTATGAGCTCAGACAATCCTAGCCTCCCCCTCCTAGAGTGCAAGGATTACAGGTATGAGCCACTGCGCCCAGCTGACCCCGCTATTTTTAGAGATAGGATTTTGCACTTGCTCAGGCTGGGTTGTTTTTTTTTTTTTT